TCTTTGTCATTCCACTTTGCAGCTTTGGGGTATTCCTGGATCCTTTGTTAAACATAGCTCTGTGTGCTGGCCCTGGCCATGAATTGGCTCCACATACTGGCCTGATCCACATGCACAGCCATCTCATCTGGTCTGTGAGGCAACCTACACACCACATGACAGTTCCATGGACCATAGATTGAGCACCACTGGTATACAGTATTAGCTTAAATACTAAAACAAGTTAAGAATACACAGGAGTCTTTTCCAACAGGCATTGCAGTTTCTCTGCTAACTTCTCTTGCTAAAGACTTGCTGTGTTTATAAGGAAATAGAAGGACACTTATACAGGGTGAATACAAAATAAAGGTTTTAAGAAAATTAAAAATTTGGATTTTTTAATTTAAATCAGATGTTTGGTTTTTTTTGGTAAGAAGGGGTTGGGGTTTTGTTTTTTAAATAAACCTATATTAAAGATAGTTTTAATTTAAAAGATGTTAAAGCTCAAAGATATCATCATGGAATAGGGATTATAACATAATTATATACTATTTAAGACAATATATTCATGTAACCCTTTTAGAAGAGTTTTATAAATAGGTCACAACAGGCCAGGGACTATATTAGGGGCCCAATCTTATGGGGTTCCCAGAGGCTCTTCTATAGATTAGTAAAGATTAAAGAAAACCACTCTACCCAGTGGGACTTAATGCTCAGTCTAGAAGAACCCATTGAGCATCTCTGTGATGCTTAGTTCCAGTTCTCAAACTGTGGATTTGTCTCTCCAGAGATAACATCCTTGTCAACAGCAGTATATGGAAATAAGAGATAACAGACCTGATTACCTACCCATCAGCCCTTTTGTTTTTCTCTAAGTTTGTGTAGAGTCAAGCCCTTACCTTTCTCTAAAATTTTAAAGTTTCAAGATGTTAAATGAATAAAGGATATCAAACAACAAGAATGCACTTTTTGTAAAAAACAATGATTAAATCAAGACTTCCTGACCAGTGATTTATACTGATTTTATTAAAATCAAACCCAGCCTGCACTTATGCATTATATACACCTACCTGCTGGCAAAGCTCTCTGGTTGGGCACACAATCACTGCAATGGGACCATCTCCCAGTTCCAGTTCTTTTTGATCCATGATGTGGATCAACATTGGCCAAATAAAGGCTGCTGTTTTGCCACTGCCAGTCTTAGCTATACCGATCATGTCTCTGCCACTCAGTGCAACTGGAACACCCTGAAAATAAAAAACAGATGTCTAAATTGATCTGCCAGGTCACATAGGAATAGCTTAATTCCTTATTCATGTGGGCATATTGATTTAAAGACCACATGAATATGGGGGACAAGATGTCACAAGGGATCTGTAACATAGGGATCGTAACATGACTATTGTATGAGCTCTTGCATCTAAGTCACCAAGTTCAGATCTGGATGAGTCTGTTAGTAATCTGAAAGTTACTACGGCTTCATGATTGTTTGGTGGCCTACATAAAGTTCCTAGGTTTGGTACAATCCACAGTGGGTAAATGTACAACAATCCCTACTGTGTTTGCAATTTCAGCAGAGAGGGCAGACCAAACAATGCACTCATGTTCTTGGCAGTGTCTGTTCCCTCCTGCTCCAGATGGGAACCTAGTGGTCGGGAAGGACAGGAAAGCTTTCCCTCCTCCTGTCCGTACTGTACAAGTTCTGAAGATTGAAGTGACCAATTTATCTCTAGGGCTGTTAATCCAGCAATGTATATAACACAGACTAGGCTCTCCCAACAGATTCCCTTTGTCTAAAGTGTGGTATTGCAATTAAATGTTAGGCATAATTACAAAAATATATGTACTGCTTTTATTTTTTATGTCAAAAAGCCACAGAATGTATATCCTTACGTTGACAACTTTACCGGCCTGCATATGTGGTGGAATCCCTTGCATTGGCATCCCCACCTCCAAATGCATACCCAACTTAAGTGAAACAAGGGCTAGGAATTACCTCAACAGCCAAAACAAAACAAATCAAAGCATATCCTATGTAATTTAGGTGTTAACTGTTTGCTAGCCAAATGCCCTTAACACAATGCTCTGTGTTCACTTTATCTAATATTTCTAAAACAATGCCTAAAATATGAAGAACTGTAAAAAAAAAAGAAAAAAAAAGAAAAAGAAAACGCCTATAGTCTTCTGAGCAACAGATTAGTCCCCTGAAGGTGCTAAAATTCTCTTTGGCTGAGCCAATTTGAAAAAAAAAAAGACACACAGACTAGACTTTATTTGCAATTAACACTCAAAGAAGCAGTAGGTAGACCATTTTTTTAAATAAAGGTGAAAACCAATTGCGCGCGCGCACACAATTCCTCTTCAGGGTGAACTCAAGTTCACAAAAGCTTGTGCTCTATATGCATTTTAGTTAGTCTACAAATAAGACTAACTGCCTTTGGCTTGACATCAGATTAACATGGCTAACTGTTAAGAACAGACAATCGTTTCTGGCTGGAACAGCCCACCCTAAGTAGGTGGGCAGGTGCTACAACCTTGCTGCTGCTAATCATCTTCCTGGTTGCATGAGGAAAGCTCCTGCAGCTGGCACTTCTCTCCACAGTTGCATGAGCAGAGTGCCAAACCAAATGCCACTGAAGACCCAGGTCTGTGCCCATAGGTTGCTGACCCCTTACAGGCAATCAAACTGCACACAGCTTTTTATGGCATAGGGATCCTTTTAATATCTGCATCTAATCTCGTTGTGCTTAGAAGAAAGTGAAACAACAGCACATACCTGACACTGTATAGGAGTGGGCTGGGTATACTCAGATTTCCTAATCTGATGCATAAGTTGTTCATCAAATCCAAAATGGGCAAAACTACTGCCCGGTCTTGGAGGAGCAGCACCAGAGACCTAGAGGGGGATGAAAGAAGAGACGCATCATCTGTATAAGAAGAATTTGTAATTGGAAGGAAGAAAACAGGTATTTACATAAATGTTAAAAGCTTGCTTTTATATCCAGGACATACATTTTCATTTCAACAGACAAAGATACTTTAAGGCAAATACCACAAGGTGCAAGCTTTATATGCAAGGTTTCACTGCAGTTTTTTAAAAGTAATGGTGCAAAGGAAAGAGAATAAGAAACCAGTCATGATTCAATGTTTGTAAAAAACTATCACAGCATCAAAACAACAAATTGGGGGGGGGTGGGGGGGTATTAGTGTGCTTTCCAGCTGTGAACCCTAAAGCACTAACAAACCTTTCTATGGCAAGTGGACAATGCACCTATTTTACATATGAAGAAAATCTACAAGAAGAAAGTTAAGTGGATCTGCCTAAGTTGCAGAACTTGGACTAGAATTTAGACATTTTGACTTAGAGGTAGATAATCATAACATTTTTGTTTCTGTTATGCAGAAGATAAAGCTGCAGAAATAGATATACATGGCTTGAAATAAAATTGCTTCTCTTGATACAACAAGAAAATGTGTAATTAACTGAATAATCAAGTTTGAAAAAACAAATTCCATTTGAAATGGTCATTTGCATTTAATATTTCATCATTAACAATTATTCAAAATAAATTACACTAAATATCCAATTTCCAAAGGTCCTAGATCAGCTGTTCTCATCCTTTTTTTAGATTCAAGGTACCCATCAGAAAATGCCAGCTCAGAGCGCTCTCATATTTTGACAACAGAAAAATAAGAGCAGTTCTTTCATTGCAAAGAGCTCAGAAAGACTACAACAGCTCAGAAAGTTTTTGATGCCAGGAATTCCTATTTGAAAACTCACTGCTTATCCTGTGAATTAAGCATAGGTGTTTGCATACCTGAAAGAGCTAATATTGCAAGGTCACGAGGCACTCTAAGGCATTGTGGTACCCTGCTTGAGAAACACTGTTTAAGAGTGCAGGTTGCAGAGATCTTTTACAAAATATTATAGGTTTCAGTTCTTCATTGTATGCATTTTTAGTTGAAATGCAACTGGTAACTTTTGATGCCCAACCCATTCAACTTGGAAAACCTCAAATAGGTCCAATTTTCAGGAGATGCTGAGCACTTGATCTCTGAAACCAAGGATGTACCAGGTTAGATATCCCAAAATCAATAGTTGCTTGTGAAAATATTGGCCAAAGCCACCAAAGCAATCCTGACAACTGGCAGCAAAAGGTCTGTCAAGCATGGTTTTACTTCCAGCTCACCCGCAGGTTCAATTTATGTCGCAGCTCCACCACCTGCTGGGGTGTGAGGGTGGTGATCTCTTCGTGCTCATCATAGAAGTTCTTCTCAAATGGAGGGTATTCAATCTGCAACAAGGCAAATGACTCAGTTTAGGGGGTCAAGAGGTCATACTGTGAATTTGTGGGAAGGTTTGTTCTTTTGTAAGCAAAAGCTTACTAAGACAGGAGGACAATTATCTGAAATGATTTTTAATATTCAGTCATATGGAGGACACTTTAAAACTAAACAGGGTTACACTCAAGTGAATTATTCTATTCTCACTGCAGTCAAGAGGTGTCTTAA